ATTACCTGTGGAAATAAAGCAAAAGCAAAAGGGTTAGTAGGAATCCAAGACATGAATCAGATAGTGAACTGACAGATCGGGCGAGCCAAGCTTTGTGCCTGCTCTCATACTTAATATTCCACCGGATGCCGTACCCAGCGATGAGTGAGCCTTTGAAATCGTTCTTCGCGCTCACTTGGTCAAACTCCTTACGCCAGGCAGCCGACCGAGTTATGCAACGTACGATAAAATCGACCTGGAACAGAAGAAAGGTATGATCAGTAGTTGACAAGCAAGAAAAGGAACTATCATTATAAAAAAGTTTGACAGATTACCTTTTGCAATATAAAGTCCACTTGATTAGATTCACGCCGATGAGTTGGTAGAACTCCGTCCTCCAAGACAATAGCGGGGGTTACTTCATCCTTGGCGTCCGCTCGATCCCATTCGGTCTCATCTTCAATACCAGGAACCTCTGGAACCTCTTGAGTTTCATTGGGCAAATTCACCTCTGCAATGTCATCAACATTGTGCTCAGGTGGCACCTCATCATTTTCACCTTTGTTGTCTTCCTCAAAAATGGTTGGGAAAAGACCTCTGGCCGCCAATTTCACTTTCGCGGGAGGTGGAGCCTTAACACCAAGTTCAGCTAATCCAGCATTGACTATCAAAGCGAGTTTGTGACAAAAACAAAAAATATGCATGGTCTTTGGGTCCCATGCATACTTTATACCTTCTTCTTGCACTGGCTTCAAGGCAAACTGACAATGCATTTCGGATGCCATCGTCTTGTTGTTTGATCCTGAATCAGTGGTTTGGCAGAGGATGTGAGACACAGCAAATGAAACACAGTGTCAGTATATTTGTTTTCTAGATGATGAATGAAAAGATGACTATCAAAATTATCTTGTGAAAGATATCGTGCTTAACTAATAAGTTCACGATAGGCTCTGCTAGCCAAGGTCCATGGTGATGCCAAGCAACAACCTTGAGAGTAACATGTCGTACGTGATAGGTCCAATTGGCATCGACGTAAGTAACCGATGCACCGATGAAACCATGACGGTTTCCCTTGCTAGTCCACCCGTTGTGGACTAGGTTGAAACAAGAGGTAAGTTTCTGAAAGACAACAATAGCAAATTTCAGTATACAATAATTGTAATCGATGATCTGGGAAATATAGTAATAAAAAAGGGCATTACCTTGAGGCCTTTGAAAACATTCTCTTTCAAAGATTTGTTGATATTCTTTGCTTCCGTGGCTACCCATTTACGACCATACAACTTGGTGTCACGTCTATGGTAAGTGACTATTGCTCTTAAAATCGGGTCTTTGACTCGGGTCCAAGGGAGAGCATGTCTGATAAGCCACGTGCAAGCTAGCTGGTTGAAGGTGAGATTGTTGAACTTGTGGCCGGGGGTAGTTGTTACAAATGCATCGAGGGTCGTTCCGTCCTTGTTTCTTTCAGCTGCACGATGCTCTGCAACTGAGGGAGGGACAGCGAGAGAGGGATCCTGTCGAGCCTTTTCTCGACCAGGACACCCTTTATCAGATTGGCCGATTTGTGTTGATCCATCACGATGAACTCGCAGTGCATCAGTCATGTTGCTGTAGCTGACTCAGACAGGGTCTTTTTCGTCTTTGGGGCAGAACCGGCATGCGTAAGATAGGGGTGGCTTTGACTTGTCCTATGGTTGAAAAAAAAATAAATAAAGAGAAACAATGAGAAGCTTAAAACTCTGGCAAAAGAATAATCAAAGTGCACTACATAAATAAGAGAGACATTTAGAGTTACTTACATCCTTTTTAGCGTGCTTTGGTGGACGATAATACACTCGCAGTTGCCGTATTTCAACATCACCATCTACCTTGCGCGGTGGCCTCTTGATTTCCCCAGTCACCTCAATGTCAGAATCGGCCTGTAGCATTGCCTTGGTCACATTCAAGGATATGTGCTGAAACGATGAAAGGTCAGCTAAGGTTTTTTTTGATTAATTGCTATGAGGAATAAGAAAAGAAACTTACATCATCCGATTTGGGCACCTGTTCCTTGGTCTTCCGAGGTTTGTTAGACTTAGAAGAAGTCTTCTTCTTGCTGGATGGTCAAAGACTGACAATCGATGTGTTGGAATCAGAAATGGTCCGGTGCTTCTTTTTGGCCGGTTGAATAAGAACTGAAGTATCTGAGTCATTGGCTTCTGTTTCTTCAGTGGTTGGTTCTTTGCACTTCAATCTTGAGGTACTTGATTTTGCAGGTGGTTCAAAGTCAACACTGACACGTCGACGAGAGTCAGGCAAAGGTCAACACATTCCAGGGCGGCTAACCGGTTGTCTGGTTTGAATCAAGCGGCTAGGTGTCTCTGAGCCAACGGATGACATTCACAGGGGCCAAAATAGATACTCACATACATGTGAGCGTTGTAGACTTTTTGGAATTCTCCAAAAAAGATTCATTTTCTTTCAGATTGATTCAATTCACAATCTTGTTTGTGTTCAGGTGATCATCCTGTGGTTCTCATATTTTACTTGACATTTATTGAGAAGGCTCATTTCCATCTTGGATGAGCAATAACTGATTCCCGATGAGTACTCAGGATCAGCTCATGAGGCACTGAATACTCAGCAATTTGTTCAAAATGAAGATGAGCACATGAACTATACCTTCCTGAGGCTTCATTTTTCAGTGAAGAAGCCTGCCCAGGGGCGTCCCATTTGAGCTGCTCAGCAAATACTCAGTAGCATCCCCTGACTGGATCACTGATGGGCCGGACTTTTCTCAGACTTCCTTGCTAAGGAATGAAGCCTGATAAAAGCGTCATCCCATCTGCTCATTGCTCAGCTAATCCTCAGTGATATCCCCAGATAAAGTTTTTCACACTGAGGGGCTGAGATCAACTGAGCAGCCCCTCAGCCAATACTCAGTGACATCCTTTGGATCCTTCTGATCCGGCCAGGAATGCCCCTGAGGACTAGCTGAGCAGGCCCTCATCCAATGAGCAGTGAAATCCTCCGGATCCTCCTGATCTCAGGGATGCCCCTGAGGAATAACTGAGCAGCCCCTCATCCAATGAGCAGTGAAATCCTCCGGATCCTCCTGATCTCAGGGATGCCCCTGAGGAATAACTGAGCAGCCCCTCATCCAATGAGCAGTGAAAACCTCCGGATCCTCCTGATCTCAGGGATGCCCCTGAGGAATAACTGAGCAGCTCAGTTGAATGAGCAGACGGGCCTCAGGCTTCATTCCGGAGCCATCAAGCTTGAGGCAAGCTTGGCGCTCTGTGATCCATCTGGGGGATACTTCAGAGACTTAGCTAAGGGAATACTCAGTTCAGCTCAGCCCCTAAGCTATACATTGGTGGCATCCCTTGGAGCTTACTGAACCAGGGAATGCCGCTCAGGATTGGCTGAGCAGATGGATCAGCCCTTCCTCAGACTTCTTTGCTCAGGAATAAATGCTGAGGAAGGCTTAGTTTGTCTGCTCAGTTCCTGATGATCACGTAATCAGCTGACAAACAGAAAGAAAAGGGAAACAGATGGTAAACAAATGGGAAACAAATGGGAAACAAATTGGAAACAAATGGGAACAAAACAGGAAAATTTCAACGCTCACATAGTTGTGAGCATCAATTTTTGCCCCTGTGATTGTAAGATCGCTGGTAGGGAGTTCAAACTGTAAGATAGGTAGATGTGTAGTAAAAAAAAAACTGTGATACGAAGTTGGTGATATGATATGTCTAAGACAGGGAAGGAATGATATCAGGAGAAAAATCAATGTGAGATTGAAATGAAGGGAGGAATGATTCTTGGAAAAGAGAACAGAACTCAGAACTGACCCTGTCCTTATACTTCCAGTCGTTCCCATCGTGGATCCTGGCTCGAACAAACCCCTGCATGTCGACCTTCTAGTTTGGATTAGCCGATCGTTGGTCCGACGAATGAGGGATATAGCGTGAAACGGCGTGAAGCCCTTGCCTAATTTGGCATAGCTTACATAGAAAAAAAGCCCCGCAACACCCGCAGTCTGCGGGTCAGGACCGCAACGCAGCCGCAATTGTTGCGGTCCCAAAAAAACTTAGAATTCCAGGGTCCTGTCGCGCCGCGGGTGCGGCCGCAACAAAAGTGCTAGAGCTGCGGTGCGGTGCTGGCCGTCAAAACCGCAACACGCCAGCAGCGCGGCACGCAACACGCCCGCTGCTGGCCCAGGGTTGGTGGACTACATTGGGGTTTTGTTTGTTGTGAAACATTTGAGCAGGGGAGCAGCTGGAATTCAATACAACAAAGGAACTGGTGGTGTCAACACAGTAAGAAGCATTGGCGTTGAGCAATGAGCAAGTGTAAAGAGGTAAAGTTGAACGCGGATGATCGAGGAGATTGCATGTCCGTGTATACCCATGGAAATGGGACGTACTCAGGTCACGTTTGCCACAGGCGAGCGCGTGGCTGAGTAAGCAAGGCGCTAGGGCTCGTTTCTACTTTTGCGCGGATTTATCAGGTGGTTTGAACTTTGTAAATTGTGATAGTCAACAGCGGAAGTACGAAAGTCGGATCTACGCGAACATAAAATGTTGCAATCAACCTGATCGACCAGGAACGGTCTGCACACACATATCGCAAGCATAAAAATATGTGTCTACTACCTCAATATTTGGTTATTCACAAGTACCCTGCGTCTCCGTCATCGAGATATCCGTGTGTTCTGCGTTTTGTGCAGCTTTTGATAGCTTGAGTATCATAGAACAATTCATTAGAAGATCATCACCGTATTTCATGCTGGTCACATCCGGCCGTGCGCCTGATCACTTTCAGATGCCATCGATTCGCAAAATCTCGGGTCATCAAATCGTCGAATTAGCTGGATGCTCAGGCTGCTAGAGCGATCCACAATCACCGAGCACATCGACCGCCAATAGGGTAGACCGTAGCATACTATATAAGCGTACAAAGTAGCCGCATGAAGTTCAAGCCAACCAACCCACTCTCTACCACTTCACATCCACATTCGATTATTTGCCTATTTAGCTATGGAGAACCCAGTTACAGATGTTAGTTTTGTCTATAGCCATACTCATCATCATCATAGCTTCAAGATAAGAAACTGATACAGTCTAATCAACACCTTGGCAATAGGTCGAAAATGTCATCAGATCCTTGACTGAGCCTAACAAAGCTTCTACCATGGGTATGAATGTCGAGAAGTCAGTTTTCCAAGCCCTATCCTACTCATCGCAATCTTTCTGAATGATATCAGATATCTATACCTTGTGGAAAAAATAGATACTTTACCGAGGATGCGGTGTTATATCACCCTTTTTTCAGGGTCACGGGCCGAGGGGGCATCAAGGGAATCTACAAGGCACTGTAAGTTTCTTACCTTGCATCGATCTCAGTCATCAATATCATACCACAAGTGATTTGACCGTGTTGTCTTACCTCATGTTTCTCACAGTCGAATGACATCAACGGGCCAGAAAATCGAGTTTCACGCCGTCATGTTCAACGAAGATAAAACTCAAGTTACCATCGGTATGTATGCTTGCTCTATTCTCACGGATTTGATCTCCTTCTTGCATACTGATCTGTTAAACGCTCAACTAATTCCCTAGATTTGACTGAACACATGAGTGCTCGAGGTGTTCCACAACAAGTAGGACGTGTAGGACTTCGCTTGATCGTCCGTTTACATCTTATCCATGACACTGATGGCAAATATAGAATTATCAAGTGAGTATTGGAAATGATACCAAACACAATCTGAGATGCTTTGGGCTCATGCAAACCAATTGTTTTAATTTGATATTCATCACACGCAGACAAGAGGACAACTTCTCATCCGAAGCAGACTTGATTGGTCTACCTCTTATGTCAGGGTTTGGTTTCATAGCAAGCTTCTTGAGAATGCTCTCCGGGTTGTATATTGGTGGTGGTGGAAACTTTTTACTTTCTAGAGGATGGTTCGGTCAATGATGTTCTCACTTTGAAAACTACGTCTTGCTCTTGTTTTCACATCATTCACGATTACATCATTTGTTTGTTTATTCGGTTCTTTTTTATATATTATTGGTGGAGGATTTTCATTCCTTCTGCAATTACGCGTTTTAATACTGCTAGCTTTACTTGATCAATCGATGAATGCTTTTATTTGACAAGGGTTATGTAAACAAGGGCTGAGTTGGATCGATCTTCAACACCTCAATCTTGGAGGCCTGAGGATTCCTTGGATAGCTACTGGATCTGACTGGATCTAACTTCAAGCTCTGGGTTTGATGTACTGACACAATGAATCCTATATGTTATTACAGGCGTGAGCAAGCTGTAGGTCAATCAACCAGCATCTTGTCTGATGTGCGCTTGAATCTGTGACATCTGTTTGAGAAATCCTGACCAATTGCCGAGTATCCTTGTCCACACCTTGAATTAGCAAATCTTCATCTTACAAAATCCAATCTGTTCTCAAGTGGCTCAATTATGTACCATCAAAGCATCCATGGACTTTTCTTGCTTGAATCATTTTCTCTGTGCTGCAATTTCTTGTAAAACAGTGCAAGCCATACAGACAAGGTATAGATGGTATATGGTCCGATGATATTGTTTTAGTTATTATCATAATTTCCCAGGAAGAGGCCTGGGAAGTGAACATCTTAGTATAGGTGTCTTTTAATCTCCATTACCCTTGACATCATCCTCAAAAGGGTTCCCAAGCCATTGAAACAAGGAAATCCAAATGGCCAAAAGAGTAAATGGTTTAGAGTACTTGTAGGATTTGAAGAAAAACAAACCATCTTGCTTCCTACAATAATATTCTTGAAATAATCCTGGATGTGGATGGTCAAAGTAACAAGTTTCAAGCCAGAGCTTTGAATGATGAGCCAAATAAAATGATCCAACAATGAAAAACAGTGATAATCAAATGTTTGGCAAAGAAAGTCTTGATATGGAAATCCATTGGTTTGAGCATCTTAAAAATAGGCATCACATGCTCAGAATGCAAAGTATCAAGCCTGATCTGTGGATTGAGGCAATGGCTGAAATTCAAAGAGCTTTGACATGGTTCACTGTCAGTGAGACTCCATCAAACTGGATGTTTTCAAACATGTGGGATTGGTATTCAGTTCCAATGAAACCTTGCATCTCACATCCTTCCAACCAGAACTTTCACAAGTTGAATGTACAGGAATTCCTCCAAGGTTTCTTGGTTTGGAAAATACCATCAACTATAAATTTACACTGTTTTCAATTCATCTCAACTCCATCATTTTTTTTGGTATGAAATATCTTGAACAATATTTCATTAACACTTGAAAGATTAATCAAACCAGAGTTTGGTGGGTATTCCAAATATTCACAGAACAAAATCCCAGTGTAAATGGAGAAAACACATGGATGTATGCCTTCCCAATCCCACCCTCACTGGGTAGCTATTGGTACACCCAAGTATCTCTACCATTGTAGCCCATGCAGCCTGGCCCAAGATCTTTATAAAGCATTGTTGTCAAGCCTAAGTAAACCAGCCTGAATTGGAAGGCATTACCAGCCTGTCAGTTGCTATCTATGTGAGAGAAAACCTATGGCTGCTACCCATGACATGCATCTTGAATTCCTGCACACCCAACTGGTTGGTTAATTGATGTTCAAAGATGTCAAGGGTCGGGAAGATGGGCTCCAATAGGGAAGGATGATGCCATTTGGACTTCAATAATGTATGACTAATTAAACAGATCAAAAGTGACACAAATGACATTAAAAGTGGCCTCACAAATCTCTTTCTGGGATTGCTTCATGTAGCATATAAACAGAGAATGAAAAATGCATCCTGTGTGAGTAAAAACATTGATTCACATAGCCCTGTTGGAACATTAAACAAATGATGTTTTTCCACACCTACCTGGCACTTGTGGCAATGCTCTCAATGTACCTCCAATCTCACATGCCACACCAAGTACTTGATGTTTATTGGATGAGTATAGAGTCAATTCCATTGTTGTCCTCCTCTCATAGCTTGACACAGTAAATACTCAGCAGATCACAGTATGTGGGAAGAGCAAGTCTTACAGGACCCAAAGGTTCTTGTGTAAATTACCAGATGCCAAGTTTCACCTGAAGTTTTCAAGTGTTCCAAGAATGATTCAGCATTCAAGTAGATCCAAATACTCCAACACAGATATCTCATATGTTCTTTTGGTCCATGATAATGAATAATCCCCTTTCTGGAATCAAAACCCATACATACTGTCACACAGTGTCCAAATATTTCACCACATTCAGTTAAAGAGTTCACCAAGTATTGCATCACTGAAAAACATCCTGTGATGACATATACATCTGAAGTCCTGTCCAAGAACTTTGCAGAAAAATGAAATATGTTGGCTCAACATTGAAGTATCATGTGTTTGATGGTCTCATAGTGATACACAAACATCTCAACCCAACCTAATAAAACCCATGGCAACCCAATGGTTTTTGGATTTTTTAGCGCTAAAAGCTCAAAATCAATTGGGTTGCCATGGATTTTTTGATGGGTTTTTGAGGTGGGGTTGAGATGTTTGTGTACTGCTAATATAGATAACTGGTCAACTAAACCACAGAGCAGCATGCTGGAAGTAATGATGAAGATTAAAGAGGACAAAGTATGGTTTCTGTTTTGCATGTTAACAAATGAGCTTTAAAATTGGTTAGGGAATTTTTAATGATTAATTAATGAAACACAAGCCAACTTATATGATGAATGCAGATTTTTTCCTTCCCATAAGTGAAGGCTTTGGATGTGGGGAGGTTTTTGCACTTTTGAAGATTTGTTTGGGTTGAAGTGGGATATTTCTCTCAAGCTGAATCCTGAATAATTCACAAATACTTATAATGTATTTCCTCCCATCAGGAGAGCACCAGGGGATCCATGGAATCTGAGAGGCTCACCAAAGCAGAGAGCGGTGTTCATTCCCCACATGTCACACAGACATAGAGTTGGAACTCTATATCTATCATATCCCCTTTTTGGCTGAACTTTGTAAACTCAACATTGCTTCCATCATGGCATTCACAGACTGTCCCCATTCGAAGGAGATGGCACTGGACCCAATTCATCCGCCAGTCATCCATCCCACCCTTCATCTATCCATCTAAACAAATCAAGAAGATTCTTTTTGCTCAATGTTCTTACTTTTCCATGCTTATATGTATAACTTCTGTCTGAATGTCAGGTTTTTGTTGCTTTGGGAAGTACATAACATAATTTACCTTGAGTATTTTTGGCACATAACACAAACAGTCTTATGCAACAGGTAGGATGATTTGGGAGAATTCTCCTTTGTGTACAATTATTTTGTATATACTTATGTCTTTTGTGTTGCCTTATTTTGATTGCCTGTTTGGTATCAAATCATTTTGTGATAATAAATCATCTCTTTCTTTCCTTTTAGAAAACAAGAAACATATGAACATCATAAATCTTCTTGCGCTCTTTCAAGAGTTTAGTTTACAAACTGGATTGTGATCCTACCTCACATTATAAGTCAGATCACTATACATTGGAATCTGGATGCAGTTGAACAATATTTGATGTTGAGAGGATGTTGATGGACCACAGTGATGCTTAATGCAGTGCTCAGCCTGGTGATGAGAGAGTCCAAGGTGACACAAATTCTCAATCTGGGCTGGTGACTGTCTGACCTGTCAGGCAGTCATTCATATCACACATCACTGCAGTACTGTGTCAAACTCATGCCTCAACCTACAATTATAGTACTACACAAAATTAATTCAGGAACTTTTCCACAGCACCCTGGGCAAAAGGGCATTCAAACATGTTCTGTTTTTTCACACAAGTCCAGGACTCCAGAACACAGCCAAATTAATGTTCTGGGAAAGTTCTGGACATTTTGTGGAAAAGATCCATAATCATATTTGTGTAAGACAAATGAGGCTCTTGGATTCCATGAAGCAGTTGATTCTCTGCCCATCAGAGTATTGGAGGTCTAACTTACCATTGAGGTTCATGCTACGGCTCTGACTGGCTTGGCATAGTAAATGCCTAGACTAACACCTAGTCTCACCCATTATAGGTTTAGACCGGTTGGAAGTTTCAGGAGTGTTGTGGTGGACCAGTCGGAATGTTTGTGAAGTTGTGATAACAACTAGGTTTTCTTTGTTCCTAATTTGTCATCTTCTAAATGCCTTGTCGCACTTGTTTTTGTATAAAAGTTCCTGTGTCTTTGTCAATCTTGTGTTCTCTTCTCTTGTCACATTTCTCAATTGTTTTGGTAGATTAGAACTAACGCTAGCCAACTAGGTTAGAACACACATTTCTCTTTTATGCAATAGTCACATTTCTCAATTGTTTCGGTAGATTAGAACTAACGCTATCCAACTAGCCTTTGTCCCGCTCTACAGTTCAGAGGCTTATGTGGCTGAGTAAATTCCAGGATTGATTGGCTAATGGGGTGATGTGAAACAAACTTGGTAGGTACTGTAAGGATCATGTCATACAAGCATCCCATGTAGTGCTGTGACCCGACCCCAAGCCTGCCCAGCAAACTTTGCCCAATGCTATCATCAAGCTAGACAGTATGTGCCCTGGGACACTGAAACCTAACTTGATGATAGGATGATAGTTGCAAAAGCCCCGGGGGCACCTCAGCTGCCTGGAATTCCCAGTCTCCCCACCCTTTCCCCACTGCACATCAATATCCAGATTTGGCAGAAAGACCTCACCTTAAGGCTTAACCCATCCAAACACCACCTTATCTCTTATCTAAAATTGAATAGTACATTGGTTATCTTGTAAGTTTAATTTTCAACTTGATCAATTACATTGATATTGTTTTTCACCCTCAATTGATGGATTAATGATTAATTTGATGTTATTTTCATTCTACCACCATTTGGTTTATTTGAAGTTTCAATTGATTGAAATGTCACTTATGGCAACTTACGAAAATCACAAAGAACACAACTCAGAAAGATCTGAGCCA